CCTCCTTTGCTTCACTGAGCCTGTTCCCTCATTGAATGATATCCCCCTTTATTTGGAGGAAATGATACAAGTTTAAAAATGTGGTTATGACACATGGTACCTGTTATGCCCATCGCTTTGTTGGGCTTGTCAAACATCATACTTTGGCTTTCTCCACCACTGATTGTACCCGTACGTCGATGATTGGATTGGTGCCGCTTCCTGTTCTTGTCTGGAACTAGAAAAATTAATCAGTTTTGCTTCCATTCTCCACCTTTTTCTCACCGTAACCTCGGCTATCTCTGACTCTCTTCCTGTTCCATCCTTGACTTCTCTGTCTCTATTTCTGGGGACTGACTATCTACTAATATTTATTACAAATCCACAGCTACCTTGATAACACTTCCTCCAATCCTACTTCCTATAAGGACTCAGTTTCATTTTCCTAGTTTCTCTATCGCTGTTGCGTCTATTTTGATGATGCTACCTTTCACAAAGGAGCATCTGCAATATATTCCTTTTTTCCTTAACCAGGGTTTAACTTGCTGATCTGAAGATGCCATATCAAATGTGATGTGTACGATGGTTTCTCCAACATCTTTCATGTTTGTTGAGGATTTACTCACTGTGAATTGACAGGGCCCGCAATTGCAACTGATCTGTTTCTGACATTTGTCCTCACTCCTTCCAGGACTACAATGGGGCTCCCCTTGACTTGACTTCACTTCACTTCCACCCACCAACAACTCTTGCCACCAACCTTGATAGGCAAAGGATCATCCTTTGCCATTTCTGCTACCTCCAGCATGATATCAGCATCAAACACATCTTACCCCTCCCTGCCAGTTCGCTCCTCTCTCGCCCCCATCAGCTCGTCCCCTTCTCATAGCAACTTCCCAAGCAGTCGCAGGAGATGTAACACTTTCCGTTTTACATCATACTCCACACTGTCCAAGGTCTTCAGGTGATGCACCAACTTACATATGCTACTTTTAATCTAGTCTACTGTATTCCCCACTAAGTGCAGTTTCCATTTTACTGGGGAGAACACAGATTGGGTGACCACTTTGTAGAACACCTCCACTCAGTTGTGAGCATGACCTCAGCCCTCCAATTGCTTGCCATTCTGATATACCATCTTGCTTTCGTGGTCATGTCACAGACCAGCTCCAACGTTCCAGTGAAGCCTGATGTACCTTGAGGAAAAGCACCTTATTTTCTGATTAGGCATTTTGCAGCTTTTTGGACTGAACTTTGAGTTCAAAAACTTGAGACCATGAAAGGCCTCCATTTTGATGAAAAACCAAAGCATGGAAGATGCTGTAAATCGGAAACAAAAACAGAAATTGCTGGAAAAACCTAGCAGGTCTGGTAGCATCTATGGAGAGAAAAGCAGAGTTAATGTTTCGGGTCCAGTGAGCCTTCTTCAGAAGCCTTGGTTTTGAGACTCTGCGCCAAGCTCCATTGATGAGCCATCAATTCCATCCCTCTCCAGAGAACTCAAGCCAGTCTGTTCACAAAGTAGAACCTGCAGTGATGTCTCTAAAACCGTCTATTTCCACCTCTTGTAACATCACCTAACTTCACCCCTCTTAAAGCTCATCTACTGCTGAAACCCTCACCTGTGCCTTTGTTACTTTTAGGCTTGACTATTTTGTAATTTTGATCTGACACAACAGGCTGTGTGTGAATAAAATTGTTATAAATCTTTTTCCCCATAACCTCATGTGCACACTGACCTACATTGCCTCCTGATAAAGTAATGTTTTGATTTTTAAAATTCTCATCCTTTTAGGTCTCACCTCTCCTATCTCTCTAATCACCTCCAGTCCCATAATCCGTTGAGATATTTGTACTTTTCTAATTCTGAGCTCTTGTGCATTTCCAATTTTGTGTGGGGTGATGTTGCAGTGGTAATCTTACTAGACTTGCAGTTCAAAGCCCTAGGCTAATGGTCTGGTCACTTGGTTTCGAATATCACCATGGCAGATGTTGAATTTTGTATTCAATAAAAGTTTTGGGAGTTAAAAAGCTAACCTAATTCTGATCATATTTGCACTGTTCTAATTCTGCACTCTTTATCGTAAGCCATCTGGTTTACTGTTGCCCTTTAGGGAAAGATATATATCATCCTTATGTGGAATGATCTAAATATGACTCCAGGCCACAGCAACGTGGTTGATTCTTGACTGTTCTTTGGGAAATTACAAATGGGCATTAAATGCCAGCGTGCTCACATCCCAAAAATGTCTAAAGAAAATATCCTCGCTGGCCTGTCTCTGCACTGTAGGGATTCTATGGTCCACCATTGGGGAAGAGGACTTTAATTACATGAGCCCCATGTTTTGAAATTCCTTCCTACACCTCTCCTCCTTTTCTACCTAACTTTCATCACTTAGCACACTTTTTAAAATACATCTCTTTTTGACCAAGCTTTTGGTCACCTGATTTGTGAAATTTTCAAGGTCATACTTTTTGTTTTGTAATGTTCCTGAGAAGCACCTTGAGATGTTTCATTATGCTGCAGGAGCTCTATAAATATAAATTGTTGTGGCTGAAGTTTGGAAGAAGATCATTGTATTCCCTGTGATCATTAAGTATTTATGCTGGTCCTCTTGACATCCCACGTTGATCTCATTGGCCAAAGGTACACACAGTGGGCATCTAATTGCACACATGGGATCAAAGAAACCAGAATAGACCATTCATCCCTTCAAGCTCATTGTCTTTCAGTGAGATCATGATTGATCAGCACCTTAACCCCATCTATCCATTTTTCTGTTGTATCCCTTCAACTCCTTACCCAACCATAGAATATCAATCAAGTTCTGCATATGCAATTGTGTCAGCCTCTGATCTAATGACCATCATCCAATGGGCCCAAATCATTGTTTATTTTACAGGTGGCACTTGGGACACATGATCTCTTGGACTGGTTTCAATTTGTCTTGACTGAATTGGAAAGAAACTTTCCGGAGTAATTTTCCTCCTTCCCTGCGTTGCTTTTTTTTTTCTCTCCCTTCCAGAAAAATACTTGGCTGTGCAGCTCTGGGAGAGGTGGGGATATGGGAAAGAAATGAAGGCTTGATGCTCCTGTCATTGTGAGTCATTATAGGAGCAGTCACTACAGTCTGGTTGGTTTCTGCCCCAGTTTTATGTCTTTGTATGTTTTGCTCACTGGCTTTCCATTTCTTGCAGTCCAGTCAGCACTCAAGAAAAAAAAAAGTTGCGTTTATACAGTACCTTTCATAGTCTCAGAATTACATGTATACATAAAAAGAACAGTACAGGAACAGGCTAATTGTTTGCTAGCATTTTATGTGCAACATGAGACTGATCCAACTGTACATCATCTAACCTTAATTACTTGACCTTTGTCCCTCGTATTTTTCCAGCTTCACTTCAACTACTCCGTGTAGTAGCAAGTTGCTTTTTCTGGAAAAAGCAATTTTATTAGGACCACTTCTTACTTAGGAAACTGCATGTTTGCTTAGGATCTGTCAAAGGTGGAAACATCTTCCAGTCTACCAATCAAGCCACTCAGTTTAAAAAAAACCCAAAAGACTTTTTACAGCCAATCAAGTGTTTTGAAGTGTAGTCACTGTTGAACTGCTGAAATGCAATTTGCAGGCATGGCAGCCCATTACAGCATTGAGAAAACGGACCAGGTAATCTGATACTTAAATGATGCAGACTGCAAGATAAATGTTAGCAAGACATTGGGAACCTCTCTTGCTCTTCAGAATTTTGCGGAATCTTTTATGTCCACCTGAAGAAGAAAATAAGGACTTGTTTTAAGGTTTCATCTGAAAGATGACACCTCCTGACAGTACACATTAGTGCCACGTTGAAGTGTTGGCTCATATTTTCTGCCCAACTTTCTGGAGTGAGAAATTGAACCCACAGCCTTCTGGCTCTGAAGGAGTTACAAACTGAGCCACACCATTGTTTGTAGAGGAGGAAACTAGATAAGAGGTAAGCCATGTATCTTTCAGGTGTTGGAGTAGGTGAGAGACAGCAGTGTGAAAGTTAGAATGGTGAGTTTTGATCTTTGATTCTCAGACATGAGTTTGAATCATGCTCAGACTTGGGGAATGTCATTTTTATTCAAAAGTAAACAAGTTTAGAACAGTTTTGACTCAGTTGCCTGGGGTCATTAACTTGATGTATAAAACTACCCCTTAATATGAGTATTGATGAAGATTTCTTGAAGGACCATAGTTACAGGTGGAATAGAAATGTTACAGTGAAGCCTAGAAGGTGCATTTTTTGAGATTGAGTGCTAAACATAGAGTAATGCAGTTACAAACAAACTGCTATCGTTGACTGCATAATGATTTTCCTCAAATCCATGGATATAAGATTTGCTTCTAAAAAAAACATTAATCAGGATCTGTTGTCCAATGACACAGTACTCAGTGCAGTTTTTGAAAGCAGCAACAAATTGGCAAATTTTTTATTGTCTAATATCTTAAGGTTGTTCATAGGTCCATAGAGTAATTCACCATATTTTGATCTTCAGCTGCAGAAAAAGATGTTAGATGACCAAAAGTTTAGCCAAAGGTGGGTTTTGGGGAGCGATTTTATTTTTTTAAAAAAAAAGTGTTTAGGGAGGGGTTTCCAGAATTTGAGGCTTATGCAGCCCAACAATATGGTCACCAGTCAAGAGCTGATGTAAAATAGGAATGCACAAGATGTCAGAAATTCAACAAGTGTGCAGACTGCTGACAGTTGTGGGTCTGTTTATAAGGGTGAAGCAACACAGATTTAAAAGCAGGACTGGAAATATTGAATTCAAGACGAGGCCAGACCTGGAGCCAGTATGGGTGAACGAGCACAGGTGATAGGTGAATAGAACTTTTATACAAGTCAGAATATGAATGGTAAATGTTTTGGATGAGCTCCAGGTTTGCAGAGGGTGGAAGATGGGAGACTGAGTCATGTGTTAAAATACTTTGAATCTGGAGTTGACAAAGACATGGATGAGCAAGTTACAAATCTTTCTGTCTCCCATTCTGCAGATCGTCAGCCCCTGGGCCGAGATGTCATAAAGAAGGGAAGCCTGGCCAGAAGGCAAGATCATGCCAGCCTGTGGAAGGAGTGCTACGTTGAGCTTTGTCCCCGTGAGCTGTGTCTGTACAGTGTGGCAACTGGTGACGACTCTCACCTCTGTAACGTGTACTACTTGAGCCACTGCCAAAGCATTACCCTGTCGATCAGCCATGGTGACCATGTCCTGGAGGTTCTCTTCTCCAATGGCGCTCCGCTGCAACTGCAAGCACGCTCCCGGGAGGAGGCTGAAGAATGGAGGCAGGACCTCCTGGCACAAATGCTTGCCCTGAGCCTGCCAAACAGGACCCAGACCCCACCACCAACAGATTGGCATCCTGGGACTTGTCAAGTAAAAACCATCCAGCCTGCTGCTGTCCAATTGCGCCCAGAAGGTACAGTACGGATAGGAGTGCTTCATATGCTGATGCCTCAGAACAACTGGAACTCTTACACCTTTGTCCTTAGCCAAAGCCAACTCAAGTACTTTCGAACTAATGACCTGCAGGAAGAGCCCTTGGCATCTTACAGGATTAATCAATGCCTCAACATTCGGTTTGAGGTGACGGTGGAGTCTACACCTCGCCTCAAGGTGTCTTTTCCTGAAGAGGTTCTCATTCTCATGGCGGACAGCCAACAAGAGACGCAGGAGTGGATGGAGGCGATCAAGGCTATGATCAACTCCAAGCGGGTGGCTAATAGCTCAAAGTGCTTCTCAGTGAGTGATCAGAAGGCAAAAGGGCTGGACTGCAGTGATGGTGGCACGAAAAGGAATAAGCGATACTCAGTGACCAGCAGCTTTCTAAGCCTCCTGACAGTGATTGCAGTGGAGAAGGGGCTCACGGCTCAGAGCTTCAGGTGTGCAGGTGAATGTTTACATCCTTTACTAATGTTTTCCAAAGAGAAGTGATGGGAGCTGAATCTCATTAACATTGAGTGCTTAGTTTTCCCAGGGGAAAAGCTCTTGGTTTTTTTTTTGGAGGATCTCACTGAGGAGGGTGGGATGCAGGCAGCAAATGACCTGGGGGAGGCCTCTGACATTGCAACTGTTAAGAAGACTTAGGAACTAGGGGCAGGAATTGGCCCACTATAAATCTGAACTTTTCACCACCTTCTTGGGGGCAATTAAGGATGGGCAATAAATGCTGGCCAAGCCGTGACATCCATATCTCATGAGAGACCCCCAACATCAGCCTCTTGAGCGTTTTGCTCACCCCGTCCCCATTATAGGAAACAGTTTCCATTCTTATAGCCCATCAAATCCTGTAAATATCATAAACGTTCATCTTGACCACCCTTTGATCATCTACGTTAGCCTTTGCAACCTCTCCTCAGAATTTAACTCGTTTAGCCCTGGTATCATTCTGGTGATCTGCACTGCACCCAATCCAAATTTGTTATATCCTACCTGAGGTTTAGTGCCAGACTGAATGTAACATTAAATAAGGTCTGAGCAGACTATTATAATAACAGTAAAACAGTTCCACCTTTTGTGGCCTTAACTTTACCAAAAGAGCCATAGAGCACAAAAGCAAAGATATGATGAAACTTTATGAAACATGACTCCAAGCTTAGCCAGAATATTGTGTACTAATCTGAGCACCATAGTTTAGGAAGAGTGTGAAGGCACTGGTGAGTGTACTGAAAAGATTTGCTGGATGCAAATTGCTGGATAAAACCAAATGTATAAGTCAAATCATATTTTCATATGGATGTGATCACGTGCTTTACACATGCTGACAGGTACATTGATATACCAATAGCACAATGCATTGATTTACTTGCACTAAATCTCCTAATGTAAACAGACTGAATAATTCGAAATATTTATACTAAATCTTTGGAAAGTTACTCAAATCTGAATTAAGAGATTGTAGAAATTTACATGTCATTTGTGCTATTGTGTCCACGTCCATCCTAATTCCAATTTGCATCTCTTAATCTGTAGTGTTGCAGTTTAGGGAATTTCCAGTGTATATCCCAAGGACTTTTTAAATGTTATGAAGGTTTATGCCTTTACCACACTTGAAGACAGTGAGTTTCAGATCCGATTGCTCTCTGGGTGAAGGAATTCCCCCCTTGAATCCCCTCTAAACCTCTACTTGCGTTTCCTAAATCTGTGCCCTCGGTTATGGGCCCCTCAACTGAGGGGAATATGACCTTGCTATGCATTTTGTGCAGACCTTTTGGTGTTTTTACAGTTCTGTTAGAGCTTCCCTGCCAACAACTCTGTTTTTAAAGAAAACAGCCTTAGCCTATCCAATATTTCCTCATTGTTAAAGTTCTACAGTCCAGGTAACATCCTCATAAATCTGCTCAGTAATGGTAAACTTTATCTAGACAGGGCAAATCCAGAGCAGTCCATACATGCAAATTGGCCAACTGACTTGAGTAGAGGAACAGAAGACCAGTCGAATCATTTCCCCCTGCAGTTTCCCTTAGGATAGCTGGTGCTCGACCTCACTCAATTTTTAATCTGGAAGGGTGAATAAGTAACAGTCGTAGAACTGGAACAATCTGAACCTATTCTCAAACATTGAACGAGTGGGAAGCCTGACCTGCTAACTTGGAATTGGACGTAGAATGCGATTAACAAGTTCGTCTCTTTTGGTTTAAAGAATAGTTGACACTGCATGATGAGGTGAATGCTAGTCAAGGTTTCTGATGCTGACACTCATCAAACTCCCACATGAGTCAGGGGTTGGGGACGCTAGTTATGTGCCCAACAACTGAACAGGTTACTTTTCCCAAATTCATCAAACCATTTGATTTGTTTACCATAATGTATATTGGAGAAGGCCTACTTGGAAATTTCCAAGTTATTGCACACATAAGAAATGAAAAAGTAGGAGGCTGGTCATCAAATTAAAACGTCATGGGATCCAAGGGAAGAAGGCAGGTCGGATCCAAAATTGGCTCAGTAACGAGAGGCTGAGGATTATGGTACTTTGTGATTGGAAGTTTGTTTCTCATCAGGTTCTGCGAGGCTTTGTACTCAGTCCCTTGCCGTTCATGATATGTACTGACAGTTTAGTCTGAAGTGGTTGGGGAGTTGGTGATTGAGGTTTACAGACTATATGAAGATTAACCATATGGTGGGTATAAAGAACTCGACTTAGAGGGGGAGGGATGTAGTGTTTGTAACGAGGTTAGCCAGTTGGAACTCAGAATGAATTCTCTGGTTGAACCAGATTAACAGTCCCAATCAAGGAGCCCTGGCTGACAGATATAAACAGCAGTGCCAAAGGTTCTGTTTTCTGGGAGATGGCTCTGAGGAAGCTAGACCAGTGGCAAGTAATATGCAGATATAAATAGTGACTTGGTGATGGGATACTGGCCTGTGGAGTTATTTCAGATTTGTTAAGCATGATTTTCCTTTTGCTAATCCATGTTGACTCTGTCCAATCTTGTCACTGTTTTCCAAGTGCTTTGCTATTTTTTTTTAAAAATAATGTACTATAACATTTTTCCTACTACCAAGATCTGTTGTTTTTTTCTTGCCAACTTGCATGCTGCTTCCTTGGATCTCATGCTTACCCTAATTTCCGATGTTAGCGATGACCAGGCTGCCTTATTTTGTGCTGGACAGGAGTGAATACTGCCTGATGGATCAAGCATGTTTGTCTTTGCAAATTTTTCCACGATGCACAGGTGATATGGAACAGTCCGACTACTTGGAGTGTTCCGTGGCAACGAGGCCAGACCCATCTTTGCGAAACAGGGGACAGGTAAAACCTCAATGTGTAGTGACACTTGGTGTTTGCGTACCGCACGCAAAGGTACCCATCAGGATGTGGGCAGCATTGAGTGCTCTCTTCACCCAACCCCCTGCCCTGCCCTGACCTAACCAGAGCTTTATACATGGTGTCCCTGTGGAAACGGTCCATCTTTGACCTCCAGATGATGTAGAAGATGGCTTTGGTTACTGTTTTGCCACAGGCTCTGAGAACGGGTCAGATCTGCACCACATACAATAACACCAAGAGTATGTCACACCTGATGACCATGTTTCTACTAGCAATGGGGAGGGAGCAGTGCTCCCAACCTGCCCGGTTTCTGCCTCACCTTGGTGTACACTGCTCCCAGGTTTTGGTGTGTGCCGTAGACCCAGCACCTTCAGGTAATCTGTCCTGAGGGTAAAAGATTTTAGAAGCATATATATTGTTTCGGATCATGAGAATCGGAAAATTGAACTGTTTGCATCTTACTGGCTTGGTTAATGAGAGACTTATGTGATTTCTTGGAAAAAATTGAGCCAGGGAGAATTGAGAGTTATTCCATGCTTACTGAAAAAGCAAATCATTTTGGAAAAGGGAGTCAATGCAAAGCTCATTGCGGAGTTCAAAACTAGAGGACATAGGTATAAGGTGAGAGGGGAAAGATTTAAAAGGGACCTGAGGGGTAACATTTTCATGCAGAGGGTGGTTCGTATATGGAATGAATTGCCAGGTACAGCTACAACATTTAAAAGACATTTGGACAGGTACATGAATAAGAAAGGTTTAGAAGGAAATGGGCCAAATGCAGGCAAATGGGACTATTTTGGGAATCCTGGTCAGCGTGGATGAGTTGGACCCAAGGGTTTGTTGCTGTGCTGTATGATTTTGACTCTATAAAAGTGCAGCAAGGTATAAATAGACTGGTCAATGAGCAGGAAAGTGTTAAATAGAATTCTATCAGAAGAAATGGGGAGGATAATCAAGGCAAAGGAACGTACAGCAGAGTGTAAGATTGTGAGAAGTGTAGGGGAACCGAGGACGTACACAGATCCTTGAATACAGCAGGACAGATAGCATGGTCGCAAAGGCATTCGGGATACTTAGCTTTATTCTCCAAGACATAGCTGAGATGTTAACTGAATTCTTTGCATGCCTTTACGTAAGAGGCAGACGCTGCCAGGCCAGGGTGACACAGGAGGAAACTGTCACTAGAAAGGTTTAAAGTTGGTGAGACGGTATTGAATAGGCTGTTGGTATTTAAAGTCAATGAGGTACCAGGACCGGATGAAAGCCATTCAAGGATTTTGAAAGAAGTGAGAATAAAAAGTACAGAGGAACTGGCAATAATCTTTCAATGTTCCCGAGGTTCAGGGGGTGTTGTTGGAGGACTGGAGAATTGCAACCATTTCTCCTTGTTCAAAAATGGTTATAAAGATAGGCCCAGCAATTACAGAGCAGTTTAACTTCATTGGTGGAGAAACCTTGAGAAACCTATATTTTGGGCTGAGATTAATAGTTGTGCAATAAATATTGGTTAATGGCAAAGAGTTAACATAGATTTGTTAAGGGAAAATCATGTTTTACTTGAGGTTTTTTGAAGAGGTAACTGTGTATTCATGAGGACAAGGCTGTTGATATGGTATACATGAAGTTCCAAAAGATGTTTGATATAGAGTCACACAACACACTTGAGGAAAATTATAGGCCGTAGAATAAAGGGACCATAGTAACGTGGACACAAAATTGGCTTAGGGTGTGAAATGTAGAGTAATGGTCAATGGATATTTTTCTGGTTGGAGGAATGTTTTGTAGTGGAGCTCCCCAGGGGTTGATTTTGGGATCCTTGCTTTTCCTGATACGTATTTATAATCTGGGTCTTGGTGTTCAGGGAACAATTTCAAATTAATGGACAACACAAAACTTTAGAGGTGGAGAGGGCAGATAGGTGGCAGATAAAATTCAATGGGGAGAAGTGTGCGGTAATACACTTTGATACAAAGAATATGGAGAGACCCTAAAAGAAAGGGTGTGCAGGAGCAGAGAGACCTGGGTGTATGCATGTGTAAATTGTTAAAGATGGTTGGACAGATAGGAGAGATGTTAATAAATCATGCTGTGCACTGGGCTTCATTAACAAGGGCATAAAG